ATTTTGATTAAATTGTTCGACTTTCTTCATGCTTTTTTTCCTTTCTTTTCTTCCTTTCTTCCTTTATTTTTTCTTTCTTTTTTTAAGGTCTTTTTTTTCTTCTTTTTCTTTCTTCCTTTTCTCTGAAATTTTGGCGGTTCTAGTCACATCGAAAGTTCAAATAAGTCCAGCAAGACCTAGAAATGATCCAATTACATCCAGTTTCTTTCATAAAGCAAACAGCTAGTGCAAGTAACACACAAATCTAGATAAGAGAAACTCAAATGGCACGAGAAGATAAAGAGGTATGTGAAAATAATATTCAGCGTTTAATTGATGATGTCATAAGACAACATACAATCATTTACCAATTCCCGCAAATTCTAAATCTCTGTGCAATAATTTAAGAATTTTCTGACTTTACAGAAGCTGTTGAAGCCATTGAACATCATTTTTTATTTGCCACTGATTGTCGGTAGCTGAAATTAATCGTTATCAGTTATTGTGCTTATTTAACTTAACGAAACTTATCAAATGACTGCTCAACACGATATTTTTGCAAAAATCAAATCAAGTTCGTCTACCAATTAATTCACCACTAGTACAATATGGCTGGACAAATAAAACAACAAAGCTAAAAGGATCTTCCCTAGACCTTCATTGAAATTGTTAAATGGATAAAAATTTGAAAGGATCGTGAAACATTTCTGGAAGCAAAATTCCATTGGAGCAAGTAATTAAGCTGGACCTGGCAGCAGAAGTTTTTCGATACACACCATATGACAAGACAGTCACTAAGCAATCGACGAATCACCAGCTTCAAGTTGTGCATCGCCATGTCTACCAGAAATCGTATTTCAACTCAGCATTTATGCCAACAAAAAGTGTGTAAAATTTAGATTTAAACTTATATAATTTTTTTATTCCTTTTTTAGGATTTTTACAACTTATAAATTAGGAATTGCCACACCGTCCTGCCCCAAATTTTTGTCGGCACCTAGAAAACTTATATTTTGGATTAAAAATGCAGCAAAAAGGTTTCTGATGTTAATTGGGTGACAAAAGCAACACAAACCAATTAGATGGAGCTATAATGTTAAGTTCATGAAGAAGAGGCTGCATATAAACCAATTTCATGACTTGAACAAAATAAGCAGCTGGAAATAAGCTATAGATTGAGTCTTATTTGCCCAAATATTAACAAAGATCCATCACATAGCAATTAAACCTACAACTACAAGCTAGAAATTTTCGAAACAGGAATTCTCACACTATCTGGCTTGATAGTCATTGAGCAAGATGAATCGCCAGCTTCAAGTTCTTCAATCGCCCTGTCTGCAAGAAATTGTTTTTAAACTCATCATTTACGACAGCAAAAAGTAAGTCAATACGAAACTACAACTTGAATAATATTTTTTCTTCCATTTTTAGGATATTTTCATTATTAAAAATAGGAATCGCCCCACCGTCCTGCCCAAAATTTTTTTCGGCACTTGGAAAACTTAAATTTTGAAGAAAACTGCTGCAAAAAGGTTTCTGATCTTAATTGGATGACAAAACCAACACAAGCCAATTAGATGTAGCCATAATGTTAAGTTCATGAAGAAGAGGCTGCATATAAACCAATTTCATGACTTGAACAAAATAAGCAGCTGGAAATAAGCTATAGATTGAGTCTTATTTGCCCAAATATTAACAAAGATCCATCACATAGCAATTAAACCTACAACTACAAGCTGGAAATTTTCGAAACAGGAATTCTCACACTATCTGGCTTGATAGTCATTGAGCAAGATGAATCGCCAGCTTCAAGTTCTTCAATCGCCCTGTCTGCAAGAAATTGTTTTTAAACTCATCATTTACGACAGCAAAAAGTAAGTCAATACGAAACTATAACTTAAATAATTTTTTTTCTTCCATTTTTAGGATATTTTCATTATTAAAAATAGGAATCGCCCCACCGTCCTGCGGTGTTCCCCAGTTCAGTTCTTTCTTCGTTCTCTTACTTACTTACGGCTTATTCTCAGTACTTAGGAACTTAAAATGAATGTTAAAATCTTCTTTTGTTATTACATTCACACCCTATTCATTTATTTGTGGAAACTTCCTTGGGAAAATTAGTCACAAACTCATCTGATGCTTTGGATAGGTGCCACTACGATTTATTAACTGATCCATTGAAATAGGACTCTGACAAGAAATTGTACATCAAGATTATTTAATATAACATTTTATTCAGGTATATCCATACATTAACAACCGTTTAAAGATAATTAAAGCCTCTTTGCATCATAAATACTATCATTTTGAATATGTCTTATGCTTAATTTGATGTCTAATTAAGAAGTAAGCGATTATAATGTTTAAACAAAAATTTAAAATTAACATCCACACGCATGTCATATAATTTTCTTCAAATCCAACAGACTGAAGAAACTTTTGTGGAGATCTAAAGTGGCAATAAAATGATTCACAATCTAGTTTAGTTCTGTTAAATCCTAATATGCTCAATTCAGTTCCATATGCCGAGTATTTTATGTAGGAAAGCTCGAAGAATGGATGCCAAAATGGGTGACTATCTTTCTTTAAAATGTAAAATCCACTAAAAGCTCCGTGAAATATCATTAAGACTGGTGCTAAAATAAGTGTTCCCTAGAAATAAATTTAAAAAATAAGATAAAATGAATAAAAACAGAAATTAAACCTCACCTTTAAACCCACAAATGAGCCTGCAATAAGCCCAAAAGCCTGAGATGTAAATGAAGTTAAAATTAATATTATGGCAAACGCATTAAATCTAAATAACTCAAAAGGTTGTGATGTCAAATAATAAATGGGCAATACAAATAAAAAGTTGGTAATCACAACTATCGGGATGTCACAAATGAGCATGGCTATAAACCATTTTGTTGGAGAATACCAGCGATTAAATGTTTCGCGTTTTATCCATGGAAAATTTATAGGAAACACTACCATGAGTGAATAGTATGCAGTATAAGTTATAAAAGACATGGCAACAAATAAAAGTCTAAAATTGTCTAAAATGTGCTCAGCATCCCTTCCAATATCGTAATAGAGAGTTCCGAGAAGTAATCCAACAGCAATATGCATAAATACTCTGAGTATAATAAATTTACTATCGCGAAATGAAGTAATGAAATTTCTTAATAACAAGTTAGAAAATTGCGATGCATTTGAAGGAGAATAAGCAAGTTCAAGGCGATCATCTCTATTAACTGATTCACATGCTGAACGATAGATTTCATTCATTCCATTCTCAATTTTATCAATTAATATCTGTGTTTTTTCTCCATAAATTCCTGTTGCAACTTCAAGTAAAAAATCTGCTGGATTATAATGTGATGGACATTGAAGATTGCATTCACTTAAAAAAGAAACCAAGTTATTAGGTGACCCTTGGTAAATACATTCACCATTCGATATCGCATAAAGATGATCAAAAAGAAGAAGTTGATTTCCTGACGGTTGATGAATTGTACAAATTATGGTTTTGCCTTCTTGAACCAAGTCATTTAATAAATTCAAACACATTGTTGATGACACACTATCTAATCCAGTTGTTGGTTCGTCGAGAAAAATTATCATTGGGTCATCTACAATTTCAAGTGCTATTGCTAATCGCTTCTGTTGTCCTCCACTGATATTTTTGACATATGTGTCTTTTATGTCAGCTAACCCAAATGCTTTCAGTACTTTAGTAATTTTCTCCCATTTCTCATAAGTACTTAATTTATTTCCAGTTTTTAATTTCATTGCAAAATTCATTGATTCCCCTACAGTTAATAGAGATTGGAGATGATTATCTTGCATGATGTATGCAATATTTGTTCGAAATTTGCTGATATCCAAGCTATTAATTTTAATATTGCCACCATTATTTCTTGTCTGAAACCCTGATAAAAGGTTGAGTAAGGTGCTTTTTCCTGAACCACTTGGACCAATTATTGCTGATAACTGTGAGCCTTGAAATTCACCACTAATAGCCTTTAAAATTGTCTTTCGTTCTTTAAAATGAAATAAAAAATAAGGTTAATAATTTAATGAAATGGAGTAGAACTAGGCCACTAACTTTTTCCAAATAGATTTGTTTTTACGCTATACGTGAGATGATTAAATTCTATTAACATTTTTAATTATTTATTATTGCTTAATTTTAACACGTTTCTTTAGTTCAAGCACAGAATATCTACTGAAAAGTTTTCAGATATTTTTAACAAGTCAGCATGTTTGAATCACATTGTCAATGAATGTATCTCAAACAGAATATTATAACATTATTAGTCAGTTACAGGGTCGGAGATTGAAAATTTTCAAGTGAGAAAAATTTAAGATCAGGAGTATAGATCTATTGAGTTTTATTATATCGATAAATTCATCACTTCTGACTACGCGTCTGGTTGTTACTGAAACATTGACATTTAAGACCTACATATCTTTTGCTTTACACTTTTGAACTTATTCATTTGTATGCTTTTAAATTTAATTATTTTTAAACAATTCAACTTAACATAAATATCACCTGCAAAAATTTAATTAAGATAAAAAAAATAACATTTGAGATAAATTAAGAGGTTCAATGCATAAAAAGTTTTTATTCAAAAACCTCATGAGGCTGAGATTGAAAATTCATTTGTGAGAAGACTGCTAAATCCTCTCGCAGTTATTATTAATAAAATTAGAATGATGATTCATTGCTTGCATCCTATGGAAATGATTTCGATTGCATTTGTCATTAAATATAATGATTAGTGCCTCTTCTTTCACCAAGACTTTTCCTAAAAAAGAATGTCAGTCAGAAATTATACAAGGAAGAAGTTTGTATAGCTATTCATGCTTCAACTTATAAATTGATATACTCTACACCTAATAATAAGGAATCTGAAAAGAATTTTTTTTGATTGTTTTCTGAAAATTTAATAATTTAAAGTATGACATTTTTAATTATACCAAGCTCATTCTTAAGTTTTATCGATAGAAAGTTTATTTTTCTTCGTACCTACAGTGTGTGATTTATTATTTTTTATCGTTTAAAAGAAAGAAAAAAAAAACAAAATTCTGTCGATTTTACAATGAGTTTTTTTCTTAAGACTAAGAAAGTTATTTTTTTGTTTAATTGAGATAAAATCTTGTTGAAGGTAGATATATTTGCATAAAATATGTATATTTTGTTTGTATGTGCATTTTATTAGATATTTTTATTTATTTATGTCAAACGAATTATCAATAAATCGAAAAATAAATTTTCATATTTTTCTAAATTCTTTGTGCCATTAAGTTCTTAATTCAATATACTATAATAAAATAAATACGTTTTAAATTCCAAACGAAAGCTTTCGTTTTCTTTATTAAGCCTGTAAGCTTTCGTTGTGAAAATAGTTTTTTTTTACATTTTACCACATTTTACTATTATTAAAGATCATAAAAAAGAGTATGAACTTCAATCATTATCTTTACATTATTTCTCTTATATATTTCATTTTTTTATTTACAATACATATTTTTACTTTTATATTTTTTGAAAATAAAGAGAGCATCACAAAAATAAAAAAAACAAATTCACAAAACTTTAATTTATTACGTGGGTGTATTGATGTTAAAAGGATGGTGGTTAATGAATAAATTAACAACACAATTGACTTATTTATTGAGAAAACAAGAAATAATACTATGTTAGTCATCAAAATTATTAACGTCATTAAAAGTTTCTTCATCTACATATTTTAAAACTGTAAATTATTTATTTGCGTAAACATTTTGTCCTCTTTTGTTCAAAAATATAGTATTTAAAATAAGTTAATCGGTTCCATATTATTTGTGTAGCTTTTAATCTTGTCTAATCTGGTCTCATCTCAATTGAAATATAAATTATCATTATTTTAATTTTTCAAAACCTTTGTGTTTGATTTTTTTTTTTTTATAAATTTTGAAACTTGTGGTGAATCTCTGTTATGGGAAACCCCAAAACACTTTTAATCGTAATTGATTTAAAAAAAAATACTTTCTGTAGATTCAAATGATTTAACTGAAGAACACCAGACCTGCATAATGTAATTAAATTAAAAGATTTTTAAAAATAAAAACCATATCAATTCGATCGATTCAATCATGTGACATGATTAGTACTTTAAATAGAATTTGAACGAATAAAATTCAATATCAAACCTGAATTACAATTTTGGTTTTAGAGGAATTAAAAAAAAGCATTATTTATTGATTCGTATACTGAAAAGAAGCTTAAAAACCGAAGTGATAATTTCTCTGACTAACTAGAAGCTATATTTTGGAACTTAATACCTTTAATTCATGAAATCTTTAAGGATAAATTGCATGATGATTTTAAATTGATTTAAAAGGTTTATATATCATAAGATTTAATCATTGGTCCATCGCTTCTGCATTCTCTTTACTTTTCTTCCAATTTGAAAAGCTTACTATTGCGGGTGTTTTGTATGAATTTATGTATCCATTTTGTGATGAGGCTTTGATATATGCTGGCGAAAAAATAGAATTTGTAGACGTGATTCCACTAATGTCAAGTGGAAATTTTCCTACTATCTTTGACATTTTTATACTGTCATTGCTAGTATTACTAAGCTCATCTCCATTGTTGTTGTTATTATTCCCATTTGAGTAATAATTATTATTTATGCTTCCATTGGACATTGACTTCAAACTGTTCTTTCGATTTTTTATCGTTTCCTGAGCAGATTGAGCTAGTTCAAGCCAATGTTTTTTATTATCTACAACACCTTCAACCAATGGCTTTAAATCCTCTGATAAATCAGCAAAAGCCTGTTTATAGAAATAAGAAAAAATCAACTTTGCAAAAAGGTTTATGAGACTTTTTATTTACCTCATAAATCGGCATACAGATTGAATCGATAAATCCAACTTGCATCATTGGTATTTGGTCCTCTTTCTCACGATTCATTATATCAATTGGCGTAATATTCAGTTCTTGCCTTTCCATATCACCTTGCTCAAAAAATTCAGAGCTCACGAGATCTGCAACTCGTTTCTCAATTTCCCATGGTTTAGTAATTGCTGAAAGGTCGCATACTGTCATGCTCATCGCTCTCAAAAGCGAACGATTATCCTCTTTTGAATAGTGTTCAATCGGAACATTTGACTTCACTGTATTCAAAAATGAACCACGTTTTCTAAATAAACAAAATATACATATAAATATTTTTGCTAAGACAATTCAACTTTAGTGTAAAGATATTATTACCTAAAATATACCGCTAAATCCGTAGATAGGATTGCATCCTCAAGGACTTTGATCACACGGCTATAGTCATCTGATGATAAATTCGATAAAATTTGATTACCTGGGCTATTAAGAATCATAACACATTGATCAAAATGATGATGCTCCATTGTGGATGTCGAATATAGCTGAGCAAGTGGCGATGATGCTCTGTTTTTCAAACAATAAGTTAATTCAGTAAGTCATGATTGAAACTGAAAATTAATTAAATTAACTTACTTAATTTGAAACGAATTATTTGTTCCACGATGGTCCAAGTCACTAAGAAAAAAAGTGATTATAAGTATTGATAGATTTAACAAATGAGCTGTAGTTGTTAACTTACTGACATAAACAGCCAATAATCAAAGCAAGGCACTCAATTTCTCCGAAAATCTTCCACCATTGTGTCGTCGTTAGAATAGCAAACATCATTTGTGCTACATTAAATGCATGTCGCCAATTATGATAAGTAACATTCCGATAGTTCTTCTTAACACTCAACAACCATCGACAGAGCATCTCATAATCTATATGAAAGCGTTCAACGAGATCTAAATCAAGAAACATACGCAAACATGCCTTGAGTGTATCATCATCTGTTAAACTCAGATCGTCGAATGCAAAATCATGTAATTGAAAATATGCTGATGAAGGAATTTTTAGGCGCTGTATGCACATAAATTGAAATATATAATAATATACATATTTAACATTGTTCAGCATAAAAATAGAATTTTTGTATTTACCCTTAGCCGTACAGCATCATCTGTTGAAGCGGATGCATGATAACTAAGAACCTCAAGCGTCACACTCTGTTTTGCCATTGCAACAATTGCCTTCTCATACATGTGTGTATTGTGAATTCCCATTCCACAGAAAATTGCAAAAGCCTCTACAAAATTTTCGTCGTTTTTGGTGAAAGTCTGCATTTGAATAGAAATAAGATTAATGAAGGAAACCAAAAATTATGATAATTAAAGACGTACCAATTCATCAAATTTATTAATGAGCTGAATTACACCAATTATCTGCCCCAAAGAATTCTTAATGGCCATACACAAAATAGATTTATGTTTGAACGAAGTATTCTCATCAACACTGGAATCAAACCTTGGGTCATCGTAAGCATGTGGTATGTTGACAGTCTATTAACGATTAGATAATATAGATATGTGTTCCACTGTAATGTTCAAGGTCATTTAGGGACCTCAAAACTACTTACTTCTCCAGTTGCTGCAACATAGCCCGTAATACCAATATTTATGGGAAAACGTGATTCAAATGGACTAGTTCTTTCATTGAGATCATCATTAGCTTCAAAATCAAATACACGTGAAAAACTTCCTTTGGATGCTTCATGTACTAATAGTATCTATACATGTGGGAGTTAAGAGAATATATAGTAATTTTTTATCTATTTTCGTAGGATAAATTTTCGCATTTTTTTTTTTATTTCATGTCGTCTGCGTCAGCAGTAGGAATAAATAAAGAAAATTAAAATTACCTGTACTCTTTGGCACTGAATAAGACTTTGCATATGTGTTAAAATTCTAAATACCATATGTTCAATTGTACTTTGTTCTTCGAATATCATTCGTGCTAAATCTAAAAGCACTTGATTTCGCTTCACTTCTAACTGAGATTTCTCATAAAGCTGTGCATTCCGCAATCCAATTCCACAAAATTGTAAATATGATGCAAACACCTGAAATGAGGGTAAAAAATATTTTTAAAGTATATAATGTATTTGAAAGAAAAAAAATCCAGGAAATACTAAGACAACAGTTTTAAAATGTTGTTAAAATATTGGAGGGTATCGACAGGCACCCTGTTTTTCAACAAGCATTAAAAATTCTCGTTCACTTTTAAATTATTCAAAAAATTGGCGTAATTCAAGACTTAATGTTTGTTGAATAAAGTCAAAAAATACTATTTTATATTAAGCATGATATCTATATACTTTGATAAATATCATTTCAGCACATAAATCTCAAGATAATGTGCTTTAGTGATTTATTAAGTTTCTTAATTTTCAACTTTACGCAAGGTAGTTGAAGTTGATTTTTAGGAAATCAAGTATGGATATAAAATTATCATTATTTATTGATGATGATGATGATGTCCTTTAACTCCACTGTGAAGTGTAGGGCGTTTACGAAACTTTTGAATCTTACGCGATTGCAAGCTAATGCCGCAAGCTCACTGACTTGATAGCCCTGCTGAGCCGATTCTTTACGAATAGGCGATTGCCAAATAGCACTTATTAATTACTATCCCACATCTCAGAGAAGTTGTAGAAATTGCTTAGTATTGTGAACTTATTTCTTTTCTTTAACATAGGTATACCAAAAAAAAGTTGAAAAGTGTGCATCAATAAAGGAGTCTAATGTATATGAAATGTACAACAGGAAAGAAGAAAAAATTCAACGCTCAAATTCTCAAAAGCAAAATGTTCTTTTAAGATGGAAAAAATAGAAATAATGAAAACATAGAAAATTTAATTACGAGCAACAAAAGGCTACAGTCAACAAAAATAATTTGTAAAGAACCTTTAGGCTACAGCAAAGGGTTTCATCTAAATTTAGAAACTGTTTCGAAGTAAGTTTGAATAAATAATATTTTTTTCGTTAAGACACAATGCAAGAATTAATGAATAGCCTCAAACCCGGGTGGACACAGCCAGTTAAAGTCCATTATTGGACAATCATTTAACAGTCTTTTAACTTGTCGAAATATATACGATATAGAGAACTATACGTTAACTAGACTTTAACTGGACATTCATGCTAATCAATCAAGTGTTCGAAACTCAAAAATAATTTTCCTTACTTTTTTGACCATATACTTCACAAGCGCTTACAGAAATCACTTATATAAGGTCCACCAAAATTTGTATGAAACTTTTAAGTAAATATAAATGTTTCACGCGCAAGTGTTCGAGACTCAATTTTTACTAGAGATTTTTCATAAGTGATAGTGTACTTTAATTAATTAATTACACTAATACAATAATAAAATTTTACAAAAGAAAAAAATATGGAGAAAAAGACACGTGTTATTTATTTTATTTCGATTTTTTTGTAACTGGACATTAACTAGACATATTTGCAATTCCTATGTCCAGTTAAATGGAAAGCGCAAAATATGTCATTAGTCGTCCCTAAGTCTAGTTGCAAAGGCACGTCAATGGTTACTTACTCGCCGTGAAAAGGCAAGTCAATGGCAAGCTTTTAACTAGTACTTTGTCCACTCGGGAAACTATTTCACTTAGCTGTTTATTTTCTATGTCAGAGAAAACTAAGTTTTTTCCTCAATTTCAACTGAATATGAAGTGCATTAAGTGCTTTTATTTTATGGCTTCAATTTAATGTTTAATTGCCCTTCTGTTCTCCTTTATTAGAAGCTCAATTTATCTTTTATGACTTTGTGGGTTTTATATTCAAAACTGCAACTCACAGAGCACATGTTAAGAACATGTTTTAATAGGTTTAAAAGTTTAGATATGAGGAAGGAAGAAGCATGCAAAAGCTTATAAGAAAAAGTAATAAGGGGCCGTTCACTTACGACGTCCGACATTTAAAGGGGGGGAGGGGGGTCTAGGATTTTGTGACAGTTCAAACAATGGAAATTTTTTTCTATAAAATTTTTGTGACAGAGGGGGGGAGGGGGTCTAAAAATCAAGTTTTTTGATGGACGTCAAAAGTGAACGACTCCTAAGTCAGTCTAAACTTTTTAGTTCAATGGTTTCTAATTTATAGTAGATTTGCTTACCTTTTCATCAATAGATGAAAAACAATGTTCAAAGCCTAGCTTATTTATCACTTGTGCTACACCAATAACATCACCATTAGCATCTTTTATAGGCATACAGAGAAGCGCTTTTGTTCTATAACCAGTTACCAAATCAATTTCACGATTAAATCGTTCATCCTGAAAACCATAATGTGAAGAAAAAGAATTAAATCATTTAATTATTTTTATACAATTGTGCATGCTAAAGATAAATGGGTAAATAAAATAAGCAAGAGATTAAGTATATGACGAAATCATTTAAAAAAGATTTTTAAAAAATTTACTCATGAACTTTTTTGAACCAATCAAATGTTTTCAAAAGAAATAACAACAAAAGTGGGTAGCCGAAAATTCATAGAAAGATAATTACAATGAGATTTATTATCATTTTTAAAAAAGGGAATAAATTTGTCTGTTTTATATCAGTATTATATCAACTCACTTCATAGGCATCAGGTATGTTTACTGGCTCTCCACTTTCAGCAACATGTCCTGCGATTCCAGTTCCCCATGCAACTCTCACTTCATCTCTCAATTCCATTTCCTCCATCGTGCTACGTGGGCACACGTCAAAAAGTTTTGATACTAAGCATCTTGAAGAAAAAAACGACAAGAATACGATTTTTAATATTAGGGACTTTATTTTGGAACAAAAGAGGAAAAAAACTTTTTCTTGATTCTGAAAATGTAAAAGTAAAAGTAAGGAAAATGATAAACGAAAACTTATCATTTCTTAAATAAATCTCCAAATCTCTTCCATTTATCTTTTATAATGATTCAGTATGACAATTGTTTTTTTAATAGCTCAATATTATAAAGTATATTTTTCTTCTTTTATTTTAATTCACTTTTACTCTCCGTCTCTCTCGTGAGTTATAATTTATTGTCACATGATTCTCAACATCTAGAGTATAATTAATATGTGAATTGTAATAAAGGTTAGGTATAAAAAACAATTCTTAACGTTAAGACGAAATTAGCTTGGCTATTCTTACTGATTGCACTGCCGAATGATAGATTAGTGATAAATAATCGTGTATTATACAAGCTTTAATCGAAGTTTTTGGATTATATCAGTACTAGATGCGCTAACCATGGTACATGAAATTAAAGATATTTGTATGTCTCCTTACACCAAGGCTCCCGAAGGTTATAATCTACAAATAATCCCATACAAAGATTATAATCATAGTTTTTAAAAGATTATAATGTGCGGGAGCCTTGCTCTACACCGTCAAAACAGTCCTGAATAAGCAAAAAAAAAATAACTCACCTTTTTGGTCCTTCTGAATTATTTTTCCCCTGTACTAGAAAGAGTGATCCACGATCAGCGTTAAGAAGAATTGACACATTTTGAAGTATTTTATGACACAACGATCGTACATCAAGTTCATTGCAAATATCCTTTACCTATTGATTTAACGTGAAAAAATTGTTGATTGATTTTTTTTTTAAAGAAAAATAAGCTAAAATAACTTACTAATTCAAATATAAGCTCTTTCTCGTCTAAATGCTTCAGCTCATTGCGTGACAGTCTCTGTGTTCTATTAATAATACTATTAGTTGTGCCATTTTGATTTTGTACTAAACCCATTGTTGTGTCGTTTTGCGAGTTTATGCTAAGAAATGTTGGCGTTCCATCTATTGTATTTACGATTGGCTTCAGTAAACCTCCACGTTCGAACTCATGAGCTGAGATTTTTCTATTAGACGCAATAATTGTAAAGTATTTATTTAATTGAACACGTGAATTTGTCTTTGGTTCGATCAATATGTCAATCAAAAATAGTAATTATCTCATACCTGACTGGAGTCGTGGCGCCACTACCACTACGTGAGGAACATTGCTGCTGATTCATGTGTGTCGGTGATGAGACGTGCATCATCATATCAGATCCAGCTAGAGCTGCTGGTGTTGCATGTGCCACAAGCCATGCATCTACAATGTTTCTTGTTGCCTTTCGAATAAAATATTCTTGCGCAAATTCCTGATGCTCATCAAGCCATGATTCCATTCGTGCAAATTCTACATCGTAATGATTGTTTTGATGATGATTACTATTACTATTGTGTGAATGCGTCGCACCCAACCGACTATTATTGTTTGAAATGTTACTTATGTTGTTTATATTATTTTCGAGCCCCAAACTTATGTGCCCCCCGTCAATTGTGGTGGGCATTCTGCTTTGGGGCTCTTCTATACTCCGCAAATGCAGACCTGGAAGAAATGAAACTAAATGTTAATTTTCAAACTGCTCTAATCGCTCTTTAGTGATTTATAAAAAAGCTATGAATGTTTTAAATGGATTTTCTGATGTAACGTAAATTAAAAAATAAAAAGAAGTATTTTTTTATGTTTTAGAAAGCTCATGAGACATTTTGACATTTACCTGACTTTTTATTCTTCTTAAAATGACAAGATGTGCTAAAGTAACACATACTTTGGCCCATTTAGGGCATTTTAAAATTTAAACCTCGTTTTATATGTTAAAATATCACGATTGAATATCACACATTTGTAAATCCACAATAAGCACTGTCTGTCCATTTGATTAAGTTTTTATTTTCTTATTAGTTTGATTTATTGCACTTATTTTCTTAGTATTTTTCTAATGCCTGTATTTATTAGTATTATAAATTCGAAATTGATTTTTAATATCACGTTGCGAAGACGAACTAGTGACATGAAGCAATTTTATGTCGATCATGAAAATGAGCTAATGAATATAAAAAGATAAATAATCTTTTACAAATGACGTAGAATTTTTAGAAAAAATCGCAATGCCTCCAGTTCAAAAGGAGAAACATCAGGACTATTGTGAAATTGCACATATTATTTTTAAAATTAAATTACGAGTCTCAAGTATAAGATCATAAAATTCCATTTTAAATTAACGTCATTTGTGAATGACTCTTGAGTAATCAAATATAAGATAAATATAGGAAATTTAACATCATTTTTTTTCAATTGAGCTTAATTGCATCATTTACTTCCAACATTTTCTCTTTGTTCACTAAATAATAAACAAGAACTGCGTCACTTTCTAATGACAAACACGTGCCAAACTGTTTTACAGCACCACATAATTTTGAAGAAAATTTTTTTATTAATGACTTGATATCATCCGATATCATTTTAGGATATTCATGATTTTCATTTCGCCAATTTACCGCTTTATTACCTCCCAAACAGCCATCCTGGCCAATTAAGCAAATTGATTTTTTTTTGTTCCCTCATTTCAACATAAAAAATAATACTCATTGAAAAAAAACGATAAGAACCTAATGAATGAATAGTTTTTAAGAAAGTATTTTCATATTTTAGATATTTGATTATTTAAAGCTATCAACTTGTTACACGTTCCCAAAACATATGTAAATCCGAATGTTTTAAGGCTATTTCTTAAAAGCAGTTATTTGCATTTACTTAAGTTATTTAATAACAGTTGATGGTTCTGCAAGCATGAGCCAGTCTTTAAAAATTTCAAAAAAATAATATATCACAACTTGCAAATCTAAAAGACACAATCCGTTTTCTGATGGTCAAATAACATTTTTAGAGCGCATATTAAAAGAGATTAAAGTTTTTTTTTTGTAAATTAGTATTGACTTTGTTTTGTTTTATTAAACTGACCCTAATTTTTCTGAATAATTTCAAGTTAATGAAAGGAACAAAGGTAAATCTAGTTCAATTGGATTTAAAATAATATATTTCATAATTAAACGTTGGATCTTCTATAGGTAGCATAAAATCACTGAATTAAAATGATTTGTAAAACTACTGTTTAAACCAAAGAAATTAAATTAGATAAAACGAATTAAAGTTAAAGCTAGCCAAGGTAGTGCCATTTCAAAAAGGTTCGAAAAATATATAGGTCTGAAGATAATTAAGGCAAATAAAACAGAAAGCATTTTAAGTTCATTGATATCACAAAAACAAAAAAAAAAGAAAAGCATTGGAGACAACCAACAATGCCGGTGTAAATTCTCGCTCCACCATCATCAAATAACATTTTATTATGCCATTCATTACAGACTAAATTACACAATTCTTGATAACAGTGACGTTATAGAGGTTGGTTTTCCACATTCTATTTATAGTCCATGAAAAACTTATTGCTTTGCTTTTCTAAAAATGACATTTCTCTTTTTTGTATATTTTTTAAAGTCAGTTAACAAAAAAAAAAATCTATATTCAGGCAATCATTCACAAGATTCTTTTTTGCCGTCCATAACAAAGATAAATACCAATTTCATTCAAATTCAAACATAACAAACAAAAATTTTGCATACATCTTTTCTAGAGAGAAAAAGGTGAAGGAAGAAAAAAAAAGCTGTTATCTATGAAAAAATCACTTATATTTTTTAAACATTTTCCTTGTTTACATTATTCTTATTTCGAATGAAATGGTTCTGAACTTTTTACTTCAGTTAATAGGTTGATGTTACATGTTGCCAGATAATTTTGATCTAGATGAAACAAATATGCTCAGATATGAAATTCATTTTTTTTGCAATAACTCCAAAATTTACATTGACAGAACTCATAAAAAAAATTATGTAATAATTGAACATAATAAAATTTGATTTAATAATTAAATTTTCTAAATTTCATTTAAAAAAGAAAATTATGTTAATTAATTTTAAAAGATGTTATTCTTAAAAATGAGGATATACAAATTTGATAAACTAAACTAGTGTATCGGGTAGAAACCCAATGCGGATTATATTCACACCGTACTATCATAAGTCTTATGGATAGACCAAGATTTGCCCATCATAAGTATGAAGGTATGAAGCTTGATAAGTCAACTTAGCTTCGCTCAGCAAAAGTTTGAAGTTATAAAGCTATCGCGTAAGCTGAGTTATGCTCAGCATAAGTTTGAAGATATAAAGCTAGAGTGTCAGCTGAGCTACGCTCAGCATAAGTTTGAAGATATAAAGCTAGAGAGGCAGCTGAGCTTCGCTCAGCATAAGTTTGAAGTTATTAAGCTATCGCGTAAGCTGAGCTACGCTCAGCATAAGTTTGAAGATATAAAGCTAGAGTGTCAGTTGAGCTACGCTCAGCATAAGTTTGAAGATATAAAGCTAGAGTGTCAGCTGAGCTACGCTCAGCATAAGTTTGAAGATATATGTAAAGCTATCGAGTCAGCTGAGCTATTGCTCAGCATAAGTTTGAAGGTATAAAGCTTGACGAACATGCCAAATATTCTTTAAAAGTTTTTAAAAAAAATTTTTTATCCAAAGTTGAATTTTATAAAAATCACAGTCAACTTTTGTTTTAAAAAATTCGTAAGAAAGGAAAGTTTTTTGCTTTTTCTGAAGCAACGGCTGTTCTTACCTTGCCCAAAACCAATACAGCTCTTCTATAGAGCAGCACGGATCAAATGTAAAAAACTAGAAGTCTCTACGATGTCTCGTTATTGAGATTTCTTGCTGATTAACTTGCTTGTTTGCTTGTTTGCTTGTTTGCTTGTTTGCTTGCTTACAGAAAGCATATTTTGCGATTTTCTCAGCAATGCCGCAACCAATTTGAAATCTGTTTTTTGCAAAAGATGTGAAATTCAAGGCACAAACTTTCATCTCTGAACATTTTAAGCTATCTTGCTCCATATCCTCACAAAATTCTAAAAACTGATTTTTCAATCTGAACAAAACCAATAGATTCACACGTGAAAACGGTGTGAATATAAAAATTATTAAATTGAGTCTTTCATTCTACGTTTCGATTCAGTCACATTCAGATTAACAACGAAATTCCAAACATCTTTCACGTGGCATATGATTTTGAGTGTTTATTCGTGATCGAGTCAAATACCTTAAATATTTATGATAATACATCTACAAATGACCTTTAGAGGCCGAAGAGACCGTAACAAATACCAAAGAAAGAAAAATAAAACAAAGATCCAGAAAATACCAGTTCTTAAATGCCTTCTTTACATACATTAAAGCAAAATACACACGAGCATATTAATGAAGCTTCACGAGATATTCTACTCTCATATCAATATTTAGCAATCTTAATGTTATGGGTGTGAAATAAATGAGTAACGTTGCACATATATTTTAAACTGGCAAAAAAAAAAGATGCAGCATCTACTTTCATCTACCTTGAAAAATAATAAGACATCAATATTTTTTTAAAACATTTGCTGCAACATTTCTTTTAAAAACTAAAATTCAAAATTAGGAGATATCCCTATTATCCATAATTTTAATTTAAGAGACATCATCATAAATATTTTGTAAATGATTTTCTTGGACCATCTAGAATACAACATGAAGTCACATTTTTTATTCGTTTGTATCTTACTTAATTGTATAATTCCCTGGCTTATGTGGATTCCTTATCTCAGTCATGATTGCATACTAATTTATTTTACACGAAAAAGAGGTATAAAATAAAATGAATGTTTATAATCGAAAAAAATGTTAAAAAAAACTTTTTAAAAAACACGCTTTTATCAAAAAGATTAAAAACCAAAAACTTGAAAATAAAATAAGATCACACTTTTAGCGAATCAGGATTTTAAAAGTTTTCTTGTGACATTTAGAAATGTAACATAAATTTTTTTCAAAATATTGTGATTAAGTCCAAGAACACAATGACTCTAAAAGCGTGGGGCTTTAAGATTTGACGCTTCTCTTACTTAAGAACTTAGCTGAATTAAGAAATTATTCTTAAATTACGCCCCCCGCTTTTAGAGTCATTGTGTTCTTGGACTTAATCACAATATTTTGAAACAAATTTATGTTACGTTTCTAAATGTCACAAGAAAACTTTTAAAATCCTGATTCGCTAAAAGTGTGATCTTATTTTATTTTCAAGTTTTTGGTTTTTAATCTTTTTGATAAAAGCGTGTTTTTTAAAAAGTTTTTTTTAACATTTTTTTATTTGCTACTTTTTAGTCTCAATCTTTTAATCGAATTTCGACCACAACAATTCAAATTATAGATTACAGTAGGTTCATAGGTTACAGGTGTGTTGAACTTCACTTCGTTTCACTCCGTTTTGTTCAACTGTTAATATATTCCCAGTTTTTAATGGGTAATTAGTAACGACTGTCAAAATTTTATATTCGTTTTTATAATTTAAGTCATACCTGGAAACACATAAAACTCTTCAAAAAAATGTCCTGAACTTCAATTATGTGCGTTTTCTGTGTTTTTTAAAACATTCATTAGTAAAGTACATTTAAAATCACTCGTAAAGATTTTGTGTTTATCTGTACCATTTCTACTTCATAACGTGTGGATTCTTAACATAAAGATGCAAATATGTTATGCAAAAATACATCAAGCCGTTAATATATAGAAAAGTCAATTTAATTAAATTGGTGAAGTGTTATGAACAATTTAATACATTAAAAACAGCATAAATTTATGCTTAAACTATGCCTGCTAAATGCACATCTCATATTAATAGTTATTTTGCATTAATTCGTAACGGACTTGTTCTTAACGGTTTTTTTGAAAATTCAAATTTTCACTTACGAATATTCATAAAAAAATTACATGTCAATTTTTTTGTCTTACCAGAATATCTTTAGCTGCTCAAATTTATGGTATAATTAATAATTTGTAATATTAATTAAACTATAATGAATCATATAAATGACTTTAGAGCATCACAAGTATAATATTTAATACAAATCAAAATTTTATATCATTGACATTGGATTTTTTCCCATATAAAAAAGTTCTACATAAATTGTACTATAATTAAGCATTTTTGTGTTTCCAAAGTGTTAAAATATTGTATTGTCACCGGGAATACGTGTGTATACAAAATTTGAGCTCGATTGGAGCAATAGAAGTGGTCGAAAAATCGATTGCAAGATTTGAACGTGACATACAAAGAAACCAACAGAGCAACTCAATAAAAAGCGTGTAAAAAAGAAGCAAATTTTAGCAACAACAGCAGATGGAAAGAGTAGTAGAGTAGTATTTTCTGTACATATGATAGGATATCACATGGCGCCTTACTTCTCATAAACACGTTGACTTGTTCTCCACTTCTCTCTTTTACTCCTTTTATTTATGCCTATTAGCCGCTAACTGTGGTTAGATGGTGACTTTTCCTTCTGCGACAACAAGGCAACAACAAGGAATAGTAAAAAATTATGAAATCCGATTAAAGAGAATGAAGTAAATAAATAACAGGAGTAATCAATTTGAAGTATAGACATTGAAAAAGCAAATTCAAACAAGTTAAGTACGATTGTTGCTAGGTTGATATTTTCCTTAATACTTTGTAGTTTTTTAAAGCATGGTTGTTAACCTGGTGCCTTTTATTTTGAATCGATTGAGGTACTGCTTGTGTAGCTGGTAGCTTCTATTGGCCGAATCAAAGAAATATATTTAAAAATTGTATTTAAGCAATGAAATTTGGCTGTGCCTTTGATTCTTTCTGCTACTACGATTTGTATTGCCACAAAAATACTAATCCTTTATAAAGTATTAGAGTTAAAAAAGTGCGACAAATTTTAAGAAACCATTTATTTGAATTTAAAAAGGCTAAGAAAAGTATTAATTTAATATTCCTTTCCTTTATTTCTACGCATTAATATTCAATATACTGCAATACGCTTTCAATTTACTTAGCTAATGTGACTAATGTCGTCATACTTTATCAAAATGATAAGAACCCATATAAACACAAAACATGTAATGTTATCACTATTTACTTTAATTTACTTGTCTACGCAAAAGCTGTGATGGTTTGTTGTATAGGAATTAAAACGAGTATTTCATTCGAACCAAACAAGTGTAATAAGATAGTGCGTCGATAAAGAGAACAATCTAATAATGAAAATGAACTTGTTGGAATATTGCAGATATTAAAGTAATTTACATGCGCTCCAAGTTGTTGTTTGGTTAAGAAAATAATGTTTGTTTTAAATATAATTATGCATAGTCAATGCTGTTTTTCTTTTTTCTTTAAAGCTTGATACGATTGTTGCCATTGCTCATAAGAAAAATATTCCACATCCAATGCTATACTCACAATACCGTCTGTTATATACATTTTTAATTCGTATATAAGAATGAAGAATGAACGGAAAATCAAGAGAGAGAATGAATGTGAAAAAATAAGAGATTTTTAAGGGAATTTTCAGCCCACCAAAAGTCATTCCCTTTCGAAATATATATTAGCTTTATAATTAAGAGATCTAGATTTAGTAAAACATGAAATACTTTAATTGGATCTTTATTTCTTGTTAGTCTCCTTTGTAATTAGTTGGTTTTAAGTAAATGATGCACAGTCAATAATTAATTTAGCAACCGAGAAATATTGACTCATATTTTTTTTTCTTTGAAAAAAATTACTTTTACGGCTTTTTTTAGACTTTTACTTTGAAACTCATATACCAATGTGCGTGAGAGAACACATAACAAAGAAATAAAACATTTTTGACAGAAAATAATTTTTTTTTGTAAAATTACTTTTATGTAAATTTTTATTTTTTATGTGTTAAAAATTAGTTGGTGAGTATGTGATTGCTTTACCATGGTTCATTAGCTCAAGGGCTTGTGGACGATGTCGGCGTCAAAATATTTTTCATATACACATAACTTTAATTCCACACTATTGTAAAAAAAAAGTTCACTTTACTGTTGTTTAATTTTTCGCTCCATTTACTTCATGAATTACATTTAATATACATAATTTTTTTTTATTTTCATTTGTTTGCAGTAGCAAGAGATTGAGAATAGTTTTGAATAATAATGAAAATGCCTTTTTGTTGAATGCACGTATGTATTAAAGTTTATTCACTACGGTTTTTACTTTATTATTATTATTATTTTTCTTATATGATTCACAAAATTGATTTTGTTTTATATTTCAACATTTTCATCCTCCAAACTCACATTTTGAAATATTTTTCTTTTCATTTTAATATTTCTTTAACTTTTATTAGTAATTTTAGATTTCACACTCGTAAATTGACACTAAAGTGAAAAGCGAGATTTTTTTTCTTCTGAAATTCAACAGAATATTTTTGTTGTACCTTGAGTTTATTTTTATACTAAATTTTCTTGACTTTTCATTTAACTGTGTTTGAATGATGAATTAAAATTCATCTTTATTTCTAAAATTTGAACTCTTATTAGTAGCCGGTTTATAAATATTATGGAGCTATAATATCTGCTTCGAAATCAAAATTAGCTTTTTTTTCTTTATTATTTTATTACTTATTAATTTATTTTATTATATTATTACTCATATTTCAAGCTACCGTATAAAAAAAAATATATAATATTTCTATAGTGTGTGTTCGATTCGGTTTAGCATAAAATAAACTCTTTTTCAGAACTTAAGTGTTACAGAATTTATATTCACTCTCACAATTGACTTTAAAGTTTCCTAACTTTTTGCTTTTTCTGCAAACTTAAAGAAACTTCTTTTTATGTCAATCGGCAATGAGATAAAATTGAGAATTTTTTCACGTCTCTAATAGATTGCGAAACTCATGGTGACTGAAATACACTTCCAACCACGACAACACGTAAAAGTGTTTTAACTCATTGCGAATTCATACAACACTGCTTATTTTTTTGTTTCGAAAAAAAAACTATTTCTGTGTGTGCCATGCTCTCTCTTCAAAAATTTTATATATTAATTCTTCTTTTCTTTTATTCCTACTCAACAGCTGCTCTTCCAATACAAAATAATATGGTTTTTTGTTATTTTTTCCTTCACTCAAACTGAGATGTGTGTACATATTTATTAAGACAATATAAAGCAGTGAATAAAAATGAGAGAATTTTTGTCGGCAATAATTGAGAAAAAAAAAACGAGAGAAAACTTGTGAGCATACGGAGAGAAAATTTTAAGCTGTAGCATGCAATAGACAGATTTTCGAAAATAACAAAAGAGTGCATTTTCGAAATCATGTGGTTGTGTTTATATTTCCAATGCTTGGCATTTAAAGAGCAAAAATATTTCAAGCTTTATCTTTGTTTGTTATACATTTAAAATAAGATAATTCTTCTGTTCCTTTTATACAAACGATCTTATTTTTTTTTTTTATTTTTTGCTACTTCATTTCAGTAGTAATATCATAAATAACACAATGCGTGAATAAAAAAGAAATAAGAATCTCTATCTTTCTTTCTGCATATAAGCGTACGGAGAAGACATAAGAAAACATCGATATATTATATTATTTCATCGCAAAGTTAATTCCAGTAGCTGCCTAACCAGTATACGAAAAAAAAAACTCACTCTTTTTTTGCGCCTGTTTATATATATAAATATGAAATTTACACCTTTTTTTTTAGACTTTTTATATGAATCTCTGCACTAAGAATTCTACTTTGTGATTGATATCTTTTCGAACAACTCCAAGCTTGAGACTCTCTGGAAATATGCCTGCAAACATAGCCTGATTAATGAGATTAGTAAGTATCGGAGCTAAAGCATCTTTATGGATTTTTACAAACATATTCGAAATACCGAAGACATCACAAGATTTTGAACTTTTTAGATTGTCGATAATAAGATTAATTTCATCATTTGTACACTGAGGACATGTGAACTGAAATTTTATTTCATAGTTTTCCATCGAGTGATATTGGTGTAACTGAACAGCATCAATTTGACTGGTACCTAGCAAGTTATCAGCTATAGTTGTGAAGTAACTATTAAAACGATTACAAATGTTAGTAATGTTAGTGATGGGAATGCCATTATCAACAAGTAATTCACAAGCATCATTCTTGGGCTCACTATTAAATAGAAGGTGTCTCATTTGCATCCATGTTTTGCGTGGATCGTTTGCATTGGTCTGAAAGTACCGGTTATTGAAGGACTTTTTGGCTGCTTTAATCAAGTTCGAAATTTTGTTGCGGTAAAATTTGAAATTCTTTTGTGCCTCTTGATAGTCAGGATACTTGCATTTTAATTTATAATAATTATTTCTTATATGGATTAATTGCAAGATCTTCTTGCTTATATATTGCTTCTTCTTACAAGTGGATATTTTGATTTCATATGAGTTGGCGGAGATGATTGAGTTAACTTGTTGAGTAAATTCGTTGAAAGACACAGGCTTGAGCACTTCTAACAGCTTTTCTTTTTTGATTTTACTGTGATTAGTACATTTGATTATTTTGTATTGATTTTTTTGTGGTTTAGATTTTTCTGAGGTGACATTGAGTAAAATTGTTTTGTGATCAGCAATAAAATCAAAAAGATAGAACTGAAAAGCGCAAGAAAGATCATAAAGATGGAAATCGGTAAGGACATGATCAATGCATGAAATAGAACCACTTGCTTTGTTAATTCTTGTAGGAAAGATATTTGAAACTTCATTTAACAGAGCAAAACCATTCAAAGAAAAGGCATTTTGATATCTAATTGTGTGTTCCGATACCGTTAAGAGGTTTATATTGAAATCTCCGAAAACAAAACTATGGGGGTATTTGGATAATGTCCTTTCAAAAACCTCATTAAATAAGATAGAATTCGGATCACTTTGATTATTTGGTTGCCTGTATATTCCTATCACCTTGAAATTATGTTGTAGTAGTGACACCACTAAGATATTATTATTATTGTAATCTTGTTCAAATAGAATACTTGCATTATCAAATGAATCGTGAATAAAGATGGCAACACCACCACCTGTTTTGCATTTTCTTATCGAATGAAAAGACGTATATCCAATTAAATTAAAGTAGACGACATCGGATTCTTTTAACCAGGTCTCGGTAACAATTATAACATGAACAAGAAAATTTTGAGTATTAACAAAGTCCTGTAGATCCTGCAACGAATTTCTGAGGGATCTTGCATTTAAATATAAGAAATTTCCATATGATTTTTTCGAAACATACTTGGGAAAACCATTAAAGTTAGTGACATTAACATTTATCTCATAATCATCAGTCATTATTAATAAATTCGGTTAATTATTTCAAGAATTATAACGTGAGCAGCCGCAGTTTAAATTTTGGAAATTCGAGCTTTAAAACAATTCAAAAGAGTGTATGAATTCAGTCAGACAGCAAATTGAAGCATATAAGATAGATTCTTTTTGATATTTTTGAATATTATTAAATATGATATCTGTAAAGCATCATGGATTACATCTTTAGATCTAATGAGACCTTACAGTAGATATTATAAAACATCATGGGGTACATCATAAGATCTGATGAAGCTTTATAATATCAATAAATACCCCCTCCCCTGAATTGAGAAGAAAAAAACTAAAGGTAGAAATGAGTGCTGCTTAAAAAATAAGAGATGCACTCGCAAGACAGCTTTCGCTGATAAACCTTTGTATGCATGTTGAATTTGAAAGAGAAAGAAAGTTTTTATTGTGTGATTAATGAGAGTAATGCTTGTATTTGCTGTGGCTGAAAGAAGTCATTAGAAAATCATTTAAAGTAAAAGTTAAACAAACTTAATTCAGTGACTCATCGTTTTGTTGCTGCTTATTGGTGATTTCCTCTTCCAGTTGCTCAATTGATGTGACTCTAATGGCTTTACTGTCTTTTTTCTCCTTAACATTGATGTAGCCGTCTAAATCAAGCCATACAAACTCGAATAAAGATTTAACTTCTCTAGCACGATTGAATATTTTCTTGTTCATATCAGACATCACTATTCTTACATTGATTTCGATTCCTCTACATGGGTCATCTTCTGGAATATCAAAAATATGCTCACATAGAATCGGCACATACTTTTTGCTTGTATCTCTTTGTTTTGATTTAATAAATCCCATGAAGCGATCTTTGATGTTGTCTGAGTAAAAATTAATGTAATAGTTTGCAGTATGTTTCATCTTCTGTTTGACTAATGATGCACTTTTGATTGTTTCGTGTGAAAAGTCAAGTTTGGACCAGTTGCTTATTGATTTATTGACTTGATCTTTATCTAGATGACTTGGAATGTTGTGAATAGATATTTGTGTTGATTTATTTCTTTGCTGGAGTGAATTAATTATTGATTGTTGGCATTTTATTAACTTGGCTTGTTGTTCGATCGTTTTCTGTTGATTCTCGACTTTTTCTTCTGTGCAATCCATGTTCTTACCCATAACTTCTAACTTTTCATTATTTTCATCAATTTCTCTTCGCATATCGCTCAGATTTGCATCAATTTTTGTCACATCATTCTGTAGTTTTTTGATGGATTGGTTTGTAACTTTAGCTTCTGAGGTGTTGCACTCAAGGACTAAATTAATGGCTTTTAAGGACTCTTTAATGCTTGCTAGCTGCTCTAATATCTCATTTGATGAAAAATTATTCTCATTTTGATGATGTTCCTCACAATTTGCGTTGATTTTGCCAGCCCTTGTTTGTACTTTAGTTTCTGAATTTTTTTGTTGTTGTTGTTTTGTTGCCATGTCTCAAAAGTGTAAAGTTTTAATTTAATTTAAAGATCGTGAACGCGGCGAGTTAGAAGAACAGGTTTAATTGTAGCACACGCGAGAATAGCTTCACTTTGGATCTTAATGACGACTCACTTATAAATCTTCTTTTTAACTTAGAAATTATTTAATTAATCATGAGAAAAAATTTCCAACGTGTGTACCGAAAATAAAGTAGTGTAGAACTCCGTTTAAATTAAAGGATCTGATTACTGTCTTGATTACTTTTTATTGTTGTTTTTATCGTGCCAACAATATATACTTAAAATTTTAAATTAATTTTGAAAATGTCACTCTTGTTTTTCCTCTTAAATATATTAAACACACATCATCTTTCAGGGCATAACAGGATGAGTTCGAGAATTAAATTCTAATAAAACTTATGGAAATCTTATTTAAGAGTAATTTTTTTAAATGAATTTATGGTTAATTTATCATATCTCGTTGTTTCTATAGTTAAACTAAGTACGTAAAACATTTAGGCAGTTTTGTTTTCAAAAAGAGATTCTTCAATTATTAATAATTAATAATGTTTAATAATGAATTTTACGAGTGTTTTGTTTAAAATTTCAGTCCAAATAAGCAAAAATCCAATTAGCTATGAATTACAGCAATGTAACATTTTTAAAGAATTAAAAGGAAATGAAAATTAAAAAAGATTTACAATGGATTGTTTATTTTTGCGTGTCAGGATTTTTCTTATTTTCAAATCATATTGCAAAAGTCTAACAAAACTGACAAAAATATCGATAGCATTCTTCAGACAGTAAAATTCAAAACAGCATGATTTTCATTTTAAACCTTATTCAAAAGGAGCAAATGTAATATTATATGAATATTTATCAGCTTTATAATTCTTATCAACGTATTAAATTAATAAGCGCCACAGCTTATTAAACCAGTTTCTTTCTTTCTTCTTTCAGTATACAAAATTCTTTTCTCAAATCAAACAGATTCGTAGATCAGCTTTAGGCTAATGACTTTTAAAATGGTTTTTTACAAATGCAAAAAAAAAGAAATGAAATGAAAGAAAAAAATTACAGATGAATTAAAAGCGAGTGATAGATATTTAGAGCGAATCATGATGATGCCTCATGGTTTTCTAGAGCAGCAATTATATAGCAGTAAAAAATGCTACGACATAATTTTATGCTTAATGTAATGTCTAGCCGACATAGTAATTAAATTTCATCATCATCGTCATTGTCACTTTCTATTTACTTGTCAATCTGTATCTTTATTCATTGACGACGCGCAATATCCTATAATGCGCTATATATAGCAAAAAGGTCTCATAATGGAAATCTCCATGACGTTTAATGTATTTTTCTTTTTTTGTTTCAATTTGAATATTCACATCGTGTTCCACATGTGAATAATTTAAATTTATTCTGATTGAATCAATATACTATAATTCTTTTTTTTACGAGAGAATGTTAAGACATATATAAGAAGTTGTTCTTTAATTGATTTTACTTTTTGTTTTTGTTTTTTTTTTTAATATTCATAAAAATTTGTAAGCTTAAGGTTTAAAAGGCTATGTCAATATATAAGAATAATAAACTTGTTGAAAAAAAATCAAAAATTACAATCATAATGTCCGAAAATCAAACTTTATCTAGATTTAATCATTTTAAAGAAAACGTTTCAACAAAGTAATTTTCATAAGTTAAATTTTCTAATCCTCTATGGAAATGATACAAAAATCTTGTAAATATTAAAATTGCAAAAGCTCATATTTTAACATTAAAGTGTTAATTTAGTTAAGAATCATCAAAAATTATTAATTCAAAACTTTTGTTGACTAAATGTTACATCAGATTTTAAATGAAATGACACTTGGGAATTACAATAAAAAATTCAACTCACCGCCTTTTCTTCGAGATCGCCACAAAACGGGCACAGGATGAGACGAATTATTTGGTAAGGAAGCCAGCTTGTCAACGAAATAGTGTTATCCTGCAATAAAATAAATGAAAAATAAAAATTTAAAAAAGTTTTAAAAACTTTTTGGAAGAATATTAAAATTCAATCATTGAAAACAAAAAGAATTATTTTATTAGATTGAATATTTCAAAATTCCTTCAGATTAAGTGAATTTTTCAGACCAACGTCAAAACCTCACGTAAAAAAATAGACTTATTTATAATTGAAACTTTTTTAGATATTCTAAGATAAAAGTTTAGGAAAACATAACTGGCAGTTAATTGAATTGATTTATAAATGTATTGCCTAATATAATTCAAATGATTTAGATATTAATTTATTCACATTTTCTAGAAATAGCTAAGAAGCCGTTAGTATCAGAATTATGACGCAAAATTGAGTTGATTGATCCTACTCATTCGCCTATTCTTACAAAAATTATTCATGAAGAAATTTAAAGTGTCAAAAATTACTTTAAATTAGTAAACGTTACAGGCGAACGAACTAATCCCATTTCTTTAAAAACTTGGACTCAAATTCATAATTATTAATCATGAATTCGGTAATATTCTTAAATTAATCTGCTTAAGATAGAATGCAGTTTAATTTCGTTTAATTAAAATTGATTGATGCACAAAGTTAATAATATTAACTTCACGAGGCTATCTACAGTTTTTGACACTTTTAATTGCTTCACAGTCCATTAATTATTCATGTACATGTTTTTATTTTATTTCAAGCGAAAAATTATTTAACTTAGTCTGTATTTTGAATTCTCACGAAGTATTGATTTTTATAAATACTAATGATCGTAATAGGCATTATTTAAAAATAATTATTGCTTTAGCACAAATTTTAAAAATAAAAAGAGTGAAAAATGTTACATCATGCAAAATATCTTTTGTTTCATGATCAAACGCGATTTAATCCAGTTTCTGAAGAAAATTCAAAACAATTTCAAGATTAGATAAACCTGGCGCCAAACAATCAAGTAAGAAATTTTATAATACGACATTTTAATGATTTAACAGTCTTTTCAGAAATTTTTAAATGCTAATCTGATCATTATGTAAATTAATCGGTAAATCATGTTTATCAAAATGTTTATAAAACTATTTTATAAGACATTTTTTTCTAACAGATGCATGTCAACGTATTTTCAATTTCCTTTTGATGAAATAGGGTCAATAAGGTTGTAAGATTAGAATTTTTTGCATCTTTTCAAAATTACACTATGTTGCATATGAAAATATTATAAGAGACGACCTTGAAAATCTCTCAATATCCAGTTTTAATTCTCTTCATATTTCCCATATCCAAAACTTCATATTAAGAAGCTTCACTGTCTTCTCATATAAATTCGTTAAAGGCAATGTATTACAAACTTTTTATATTCAAATATCAATTTGGAACTCTAGGATAGATTTTTTTCAAAGGTTTATCCACATGATGCTTTTGAAACTCATTGTACATAGTTTAGAGACATTGTTAAAGAGGGAAAAAGTAAGAGCTATATAGGATTTAAAGGACTTGAGACTAAAAAGTATATAGAAAATCTAAATTGTACAGAAGCTTGTAGTTTATTAATTATGTTTATTGATGTTGATAAAAAAGTGAACAACATTGTTAGACAATATTCATTCTATGTTGTTATTAAATAAATTTATTTGTATCGTCAGTGTATTATAGCATCGTGCAATGATCACAATGGGGAATCTTTCTATAGTTAAATAATCTGTTGGCTCACTTAACATACTAGCTTTAATTTTTCTATGTTTAACACAATAACTCTAAGATTTAAAAACAAATGAACACAATTCTTGGATTTTGACATGATTACATGTTAAAATGTTCTGTTTTTTTTTCCTTATCTCTTAACTGAACTGTTAAAATTATTTAATTTCATCTAGACTAAATCAAAAAAATAAAAGAGTCATCAAAAATAGTAAATACTTAAACTATCATATTCTGATGTCTTTAAAATTACTCCAAAACACTAGACACCGAAAACGAATTATGAGGATGAGAATTGTGAAGATTTCTAGTCTCGTGTTTTGTTTAGAATTCTTTTAAGAATTAGAAAAAATCCACCATTTGAAATGTTTTACTTTATAATTGAATAGCCTTTATCAATTGAAACAATAATTATTATGATAGTGTTGAACTTCTTTGTTAAAAAAATTAAAGTTATGTAATATAAAAAAAAGTTTGAATGTAATGTCTACTTACTTACATAGTATAGTTGTAAAATTTATATTGTTATATTCCTCTTTTTAAGTTGTCACTTAAGGTCTCTTTAGTGTTGTGTCTGAGACGAATTTATATTAAATTTTTAGTATTAGTCACATCAATTTCTTCTTAATGAGAAAGTTTTTTTTAAAAATCACTTTATTTTGTGTTTTTAATTTTGCATTAATTTTTAAAACTTTGATTACTTCTGCTCACAATAAACTTTTTTTTCTCTTTTCATAGGAAAACTTTAATGTAATTAATTCACAAGTTTTTGAATAAATTGCATATTTATTCATTACGGTAATTTCACTTGTGCAATAATTTCACTTTTCTTCCAAATTTTTATTATATTTTATTCTCATCCACTTCTTATGCTGTTTTTTTTTATTAATAAGTATTCAGCAAATACTAGAAAAAAATATACATAGAGAAAATGTTGTCAGAATTTTTTATCAGTCATTTCATAGTGTATGGTACTTTTTTAAAAGCTCTCTCTTTCTCTCCTTTTCTGTTTTCACTAACTACATATGAGCTTGTATATACAAAAAAAGACACCTAAATACACCTAAATACCTTAAAATATTTCCCGCATTTTAATTATACGAGTACTACATCATTACAATATTTTTTTTTATTTTTTTGGAATTACGTAAATTTAAGAAAAATATAAAGCAATACTTAAATGATATTTGTTTTTTATACATTAGTAGTTGATTTTTATATAAATTACTATGTCACTGATGAAGTGTGAAAAACATAACAACTTAGTATTCATTCATACTTTTACAAAATTAAAACTACATGAAAAAGTTAATTTC